GGAGGAATAGTGCCTGTTATTCGTGTCAGTGGAAAGAATAGTGTCCTATTGTTGATGTCAGTGGGAGTGATAGTACCTTGTTGTTGATATCTTTGGGAGGAATAGTGCCCCATCATTGGTACTAGTGTAAGGAATAGTGGCTCATAATTGGTGTCAGTGGAAGGAATAGTGCCCCATCATTGGTGTCAGTGGGAGGAATAGTGCCCCATCATTGGTGTCAGTGGAAAGAATGGTGTCCCATTGTTATTTTCAGTGGGAGGGATAGTGCCCTGTTGTTATCTTTGGGAAGAATAGTGCCCCATCATTGGTGTCAGTGGCAGGAATAGTGCCTTTTCATTGGTGTCAGTGGGAGGAATTGTTCTCCATCATTAGTGGCAATGGTGTCAATGGGAGGAATAGTGCCCCATTGTTGGTGTCAGTGGGAAGAATAGTGACCCCATCACTGGTATCAGTGGAAGGAAACAGTACCCCATCATTGGTGTTAGTGGGAGGAATTGAGACCCTTCTTTGGTGTCAGTGGAAGGAATAGTACCCTGTTTTTGGTATTACTGGGAGGAATAATGCCCCATCATTGGTGTCAGTGGAAAGAATAGTGTCCTATTGTTGATATCTTTTGGGAGGAATAGTGCCCCATCATTGGTGTCAGTGGAAAGAATAGTGTCCAATCTATGCAGTCATTGGAAAGAATAGTGTCCAAAGGGCCAGATACAAGCAAGCAAAGGGCCTTTTCCTGCCCCCGGGCCGCAGTTTGAAGACCACTGTTCTAGGTGATGGAGGCAAGCTACCTTGTCAAGTTCCAGTATCTGAGAATCACACTCCTGGCGGCAGGTAGAAAGAAGGGGAACGGGCCTTTGGTGACAGATTCACTTTCAGGGTAAAATGAGTTGTCTGAGTAGCACAGCGGAAACTTTGTCTGGAAAGCTATAGCTGTTTAGTGACTGATTTTATTTGTGCCCTAAAGTCGCATTTTCTAAATGTGTGACAACAGAGATGAATGTAGACATTACAAAAGACACAATAGAACATAGTGGTGTTTGTCAGATTTCTTTCCCACAGGCCTTGGATGTTCTGAGGCAGCAAAGCTTTCATGTTGTGTTTTGAGGAGTGTGATGGCATCCAGTCCTGCCGCACATACCGCCACATTCCCTGTCGTTTTAAACATTTCCTATTAACAAGTACCGTCTTCTCCTTATAACCGAGGAATAAGTACAGAGGATTCCATTTGTATGAAGCCATTGTACCAATCGGGACATATCCCAACAGTTATCTAACATAATATTTATTTCAGGTACTTATATAGCGCCATCAATTTACGCAGCACTTTACATATATATTGTACATTCACATCAGTCCCTAACCCCTCAAGAGGCGTACAATCTAAGGCCCCTAACTTACATTCATACATACACATACTAGGGCCAATTTAGACAGGAGCCAATTAACCTACCAGCACGTCTTTGGAGTGTGGGAGGAAGCTGGAGTACCTGGAGGAACCCCACACAGGCACAGGGAGAACATGCAAACTCCAGGCAGGTGGTGTTGTGGTTGGGATTCGAACCAACAATCCTAGGTGGAAGTTACATTGTTAGTCTGGCTGAAAAAAGACAAAAGTCCATCCAATTCAACCATAGAAAAAAAAGTTATAATCCTACACCCACAGTTGGTCCAGAGGAAGGGGAAAAAAACCAGCAAAGCATGATCCAATATGCTCCTGCTGGGAAAAAAATTCCTTCATGATTCCCCGAGAGGCAATCAGATATTCCCTGGATCAACTTTACCTATAAATGTTAGTATCCAGTTATATTCTGTGTATCTAAGAAAGATTTCAGGCCTTTTTTAAAGCAATCCACTGAGCTGGGCAGAACCAACTCTTGAGGGAGTCTATTCCACATTTTCACAGCTCTCACTGTGAAGAAACCTTTCCGCGTTTGGAGATTAAATTTGTTTTCCTCCAGACGTAAAGAGTGTCCCCTTGTCCTCTGTGATGACCTCAGGGTGAATAGCTCTACGCCGAGTTCACTATATGAACCACTGATGTATTTATACATGGAGATCATATCCCCCCTTATGTATTATACATGGAGATCATATCCCCCCTTATGTATTATACATGGAGATCATATCCCCCTTATGTATTATACATGGAGATCATATCCCCCCTTATGTATTATACATGGAGATCATATCCCCCCTTATGTATTATACATGGAGATCATATCCCCCCTTATGTATTATACATGTTGATCATATCCCCCCTTATGTATTATACATGGAGATCATATCCCCCCTTATGTATTATACATGGAGATCATATCCCCCCTTATGTATTATACATGGAGATCATATCCTCTCTTATGTATTATACATGGAGATCATATCCCCCCTTATGTATTATACATGGAGATCATATCCCCCCTTATGTATTATACATGGAGATCATACCCCCCTTATGTATTATACATGGAGATCATATCCCCCCTTATGTATTATACATGGAGATCATATCCCCCCTTATGTATTATACATGGTGATCATATCCCCCCTTAATCTCCTCTTCTCAAAAGAAAATAAATTCAGTTCCTCTAATCTTTCCTCATAGCTGAGCTCCTCCATGCCTCTTATCAGTTTGTTTGCCCTTCTCTGCACTTTCTTCTCTGCACTTTTCTCCAGTTCCCCAATGTTCTTTTTGTGAATTGGTGCCCAAAACTGAACTGCATATTCCAGATGAGGTGTTACTAATGATTTGTACCGGGGTAAAATGATATTTCTCTCTCTGGAGTCTATACCTCTTTTAATACAAGAGAGGATTTTGCTCGCTTTACAAACCGCAGCTTGGCATTGCATGCCATTATTAAGCTTGTGATCTACCAGAACCCCCAGATCCTTCTCCACCATGATTTTACTTGCATTCCTACATTGCACAAATGTGAACAGAGCCTTAAACTGCTTCTAAAGGCAGAAGGTTTTTTATCTTAAAGCGAAGCTCCAGTCGCCTGTGAAAAAAATAAGTCAGCAGCTGCAAAAACTGTAGCTGCTGACTTTTAGAATACAAACACTTACCTGTCCAGAGATCCAGCAGTGTCCTCACCCCCAGCCGGGTTCACCGGCTGTCCTCCCCAGTGCCAGCATCTTAGCAGTGGGCATCCAGCTGTGACAGCTTGCAGCTTCACAGACGAGTGCCCATTGCGCATGTATGAGCAGCACATCACATTGTGGATTGTCCCAAAGTTTTCTGGGACCTGTCATGTGTCCCAGAAGACTGCAGGGGAGGGGGGGTGGAGAACTGCTTCCAATCGCCTAGGCCAGGGGTGTCAAACTGGCGGCCCTCCAGCTGTTGCGAAACTCCCATCATGCCTCTGCCTTTAGGAGTCATGCTTGAAACTGTCAATCTTGCAATGCCTCATGGGACTTGTAGTTTGGCAACAGCTGGAGGGCCGCCAGTTTGACACCCGTGGCCTAGGCGGTCAGAATGGAAGTGGGAGTAGGCACCTGTCAAAATTTTGCCTTCCCAACGAGTGGAACTTCCTTTTGGGTAGAGCTCCACTTTAAAGTGGTTAATAAACCTTCTGTATGAAGCTCCCCTCCCCCAATACTTACCTGAGATTGATCTCAATCTAGCAATGTGCATGAGTGCAAAGGCTCTCTCCTCTCGCTCCCTCCTCATTGGCTCAGAGACAGCAGCAGGAATCGTTGGCTCCCACTGCTGTCAATTACAGCCAGTGAGGAGGAAGAGGGGGGGAACTCCGGAGCCATGCTCTGTGTGACAAAGCTGGCTCGGGAGGAGCAAGCATGCACAAGTGTTCCCATAGCGAGCAGATCAGTGGGGAGGCACAAGGAGCACCAGCAGAGGACCTGAGAAGAGGATGATCCGGGCTGTTCTGTGCAAAACCATTACACACAGCAAGTAAAAATAACAAGTTTGTTATTTTTAAAGGATGAGTTCACCTTTTGACCAAAAATAATAAATGAACATTTTTTTCAGGTAAAATAATGTGCATTTATTATTTTTTGCTGCAGGAGCCTGTAAAGCATTGTACCAGGGTTCAGCAGATTGCTGGTGCCATGCAGGTCTCCTGCAGACCTGTCCGTATATCTGCTTGCCGTACGAGATGTATGGATTGTACAGACAAGCAGATATACTGACTGGAAGAATCAATGAACTACCACGGCGCTCCACAGCATTGCAACCATGTGGGTGGAGCCCCGCATGCTATGCTGTTTTTAAAAACTTACAGCTAGTACAGGGAACTTCTCCCCATACTAATGTCACAGGGGGGGATCGGGTATCGGCTGCAGCATTGGAATCATGTGACATGTTCCACCCCAAAAAAAAGGTGAAACGTGTAACATGCTCCCAATGGTGAACTTATCCTTTAAAAAACAAAAAACAAATATCAATCCTTTAAAATCACTAAAGGCTGTTTTTTTTTTGTTAAAAATAAATGAGGTTATATTTACCTGCTCTGTGCAACAATATCGCACAGAAAGGTCTCTCACCTTCTCTTCTGGAAGTCCCTGTCTGGTTCTTACTTTTCTGGGAGGCATCCTTATGGGCAAGCTCCCAAGCCAGGCTGTGTCTGTCCATAGACCCTTCCTGATCAGGCCATTTTTTGTGATATGGTGCTGCCTTACTTTAACTGACAATTGCGCGGTTATGCAACACTGCACCCAAATGAAATTTACGTCCTTTTTTCCCACAAATAGAGCTTTCTTTCAGTGGTATTTGATTGCCTGTGCGGTTTTTTTTTTTTTTTTCGCTATATAAACAAAAAAAGACTGCCAATTTTGAAAAAAAAGGTTTTTTGACTTTTTGCTATAAAACATATCCAGTAAAAACAATTTAAAAAATCTAATTTCTTCATAAATTTAGGCCAAAACGTAATGTGCTACGTCTGCTAAAAAAAAAAAAAAAATCCAAATACATGTAAATGAATTGGTTTGCGTGAAAGTTATAGCATCTACAAATGGCGGTGTATATATAATGGAATTTTTATTTTTTTTATACTAGTAATGGTGGAGATCAGAGACTTATAGCGGGACTGTGGCGGGCATTCTGACACTGGGGGGAACTGACTAACTGCCACTGACATCCCCAGTGACACTAATACAGTGATCAGTGCTAATAAAAAGCACTGATACTGTACTAATGACACTGGGCAGGAAGGGGTTAACATCTGGGGCAATCAAAGGGTTACCAGTGTGCTGTGTGTGTTTTACTAGGGAGACATGCTGCTTTGTATTCTGCTATGCAGAGCAATACAAAGCAGCCTGTTCCTACTGTAAGGGGAGAGATCTGTGTTGTTTACATACAGACCTCTCCCCTGTCAGCTCCGCTGACGATCACTGAGTCCTGGCGGAGAATCGGCTGCCGGAAACCGGTGATTGACATGCCGAGGAGCCAGCAAGGGGTTATTATCTGGGACGATCAAAGAGTTAACTGTGTGCAGGAGCGGACTGACAACTCATGGGGCCCCCGGGCAATAGGGGATCTGGGGCCCCTGTGTCCTTGCCCAAACTCAAAAAAGCCTATGAAAAAGGTTCCAGGGGCATCTCATGGGGCCCCCTACTGACCCCGGGCCCTCGGGCAGTGCCCAAGTTTCCAAATGGTCAGTCCGCCCATGACTGTGTGTTTTACACGATGTGCTGTGTGTGTTTTACCAGGGAAACATGCTGCTGTGTATTTCTCTGTTGTGCAGGGAAATGCAAAGCAGCATGTCCTTGATGGCAGGAGAGAGACCTATGTTGTTTACACACAGGTCTCTCTCCTGTCAGTTCCACACGACGATCGCCAGGTGCCGGCGAGGAGTCTCCAATCGGGACCCGGTAATTGACATCCGTAGCCACTAATGGTGACGCAGGTAGGGCGGTGCACTCCCCCTACCCGGAACTGCAAATCACGCATATACACGTGATTTTGCGCAGCCCTGCCACACTGTAGCGGTAGTTCTACTATACGGTGGCAGGGAAGTGGTTAATCCTGATCCAATGTATGTATAAACAAAGAAAATTCATACAAAAGTTTTATGTGCATCGTTTCATATTTATTTGGAAAAACATTTTTTAAATGTAGTTTTTAAAATCCTGATCAAATTATATGAAAATGGGAATACATACATTAAATTAATGTGCATTTTTTTTATATTTACCTGGCTATAAAGAAAAAATATTTTATTATCGTGAGTAGAATTCATACGGAACCAATATAGATTCCCAGGTATGAGGAACAAGGCCCAATTTTGCACAATGACACCTGGCTCTGTACTTGGAGGCGTAGTGATGCTGTAGTCACATGGGAACACTAAGACACAGGATGTTTGTTGAGCATCAAGATAAGAACAGGCCAAGAAACAATGATACAAGGATGGAAAACAACCAACAGGTCCCCTGAAAAGATGCTGCAGACAATGAAAGAGAGGCCATTGTATCAGGCTGTAATGGACAACATTAGTATTCAAACATTCTTACATATTGTGGGAGGAATGGATGTCCCATTTGTGTGAATACAATGTATTTAACCTTGAATGAAAGATCCATCAATTCAAACAGGCCAACTTAAACCAGAGCAAAGTATCACATAATGCGGATTCCTGTGTGTCTGCTCTCCTCTGTTAGATGCCTATTGTCTGCCTGAACAAAGTTGGTTTTGTCTCCAGCGGAGCTCAGAAAAGGTCGAGACACAGGGCTGTCAGAATGGCAGTGTCCCGCTTTGGGATTCCCACTAAACTTTCCTATTCTCTCCTGACCTGTTTTGTTGTAGAGGAAGAAGGTCTGCTGGTGGCACAGATTCACAGCAATGAGATCTGGGATTGAAATATGTCCTTGTCTCCCTAGGACCCCTACATATCCCTTTCTAAATCAGGGAATGATTCACCGCTTTGGATTTAGAAAGTCAGTGACTTTAAAGAAAAGGAAAGAAAGGGGAAAAAAAGGATTGAGTAAATGAAGGTTTAACTGAAGGCTCTTCTCCTAGGAGATGGTAGGGGACGGGTATATGTGCCTTATACACTCACCGGCCACTGGAATTCAAAACAAAAGTTTTGTTTTATGGAAAATTGCTTGCTAGTATAATCATTCTCCATATCTGTTGCCAAGACATACACTCACTGGCCACTTTATTAGGTACACCTTGCTAGTACCAGCTTGGAGCCCCTTTTACCTTCAGAACTGCCTTAATTCTTCATGGTATAGATTCAACAAGGTGTTGGAAACATTCCTCAGAGATTTTGGTCCGTATTGACATGCGTTACAGTTGCCTTTCTATCATCTCGAACCAGTCTGCCCATTCACCTCTGACATCAACAAGGCATTTTCATCCACACAACTGCCGCTCACTTGATATTTTCTCTTTTTCGGACCATTCTCTGTAAATCCTAGAGCTGGTTGTGTGTGTGAAAATCCCAGTAGATCAGCAGTTTTTGAAATACTCAGACCAGTCCATCTGGCACCAACAACCATGCCACATTCAAAGTTACTTAAATCCCCTTTCTTCCCCATTCTGATGCTCGGTTTGAATTTCAGCAAGCTGTCTTCACCATGTCTAGATGTCTAAATGCATTGAGTTGCTGCCATGTGATTGGCTGCTTAGCAAATTGTGCTACCGAGCAATTGAACAAGTGTACTTAATAAAGTGGCCTGAGAGCGTAGATCCATTGTTTTCCATTTGTACATGGTTGTTTACTAGCTGATCTCAGTAAGCACAGAAGCACTTTGCACAAAAAAAAAAGCAGATATTTTACAAAAACATTTAAAAAGCAGAACATTAACCCCCACAGTTCTTGCTTTTATTGTTTTAGTCCATGTGGATAAACTTTGGCAATACGGAGAGACTGGGGGTACTCTCTTGAGATTATTCTGGGAATACCCCAAGATTAAACAGTTTTGGTCTAAGGTTACTCAAATAATTTTCAAATGCATGGAATTACTACATCTTCCACCCATCCCTACATCCAGATAGAAAAAAAATCTCTAATGGTGAATCTCCCCAATGGCAACACCTGCATTCCAGGGATATGAAGATAGGAGTCCCTCTCACGTTCACAAGAGTGGATGATTTTTCATGCATATAGAAGACCTTCCACAAGAAGACACTTGGTTTTATTTGTTCTAAGTCAAGTTCTCTATTAAACAGACTTTGGTCCTTCTGGCCCTCCGGCTAAACTTAACCCACCAATTGGTACTCTATAAAGTTGAAGATAGAATTTTCGGTTTTTGGACATGGGGTCTTTACTCACCCTGCGGGGGAATCACAATGTGTCTGTCTCTTATTGTTTTATGGTTTATTGTAATTTTGTCCACAGGATGATGTTATGTTGTGTATGCCTGGTGGATTTAAAAAAAGAAAAAAGTCTTGGAAGAAGAAGGAATTTTTGGAAACTTGATTTATTCACATAGCTTTTGAATGAATCATTGGAGGAACATCTTTTAAGAAGCCAGCACCATGTTTCCTTTGTCTCCTGCTGTAGATATGAGGAAGGATTGACTACTTGTGAATTATTCCCCAATATTTTTCACTTAGTGTTCGGGGATCAGGTTGTATGATAGCTACATAATGTAACACTTTTTTTTAAGATAATCCAAAAAATTGTGGGGGGTTTAAAAACCCTGACAAGCTGGCATCGCCATGCAAGCTCAATTTTCATGTATAGTGCCAAGGCCACTCAGTAATACAATTATCTACAACTTCTATAGGTTCTTCTTTGGCACAATGCCCTTGTTACCATCGGTCTACTGCAATGATGGGCCAATAGTTGCACACATAAGGGGGAAGGTGGCAAGTTCAGAGCAACAGCCATGGTGGTTGGGCATTCAGTGTTTTGGAGTTGGACCAGAGCTTGAGTGCAGGAACATGGAAGTTGGAGGTGTCTACCATTATGGGCAAGTAAGGCTTTGTAATTTTTGCTTTTTTCCCATGCATTTAAACTAAGGGAAACTGTTTTCCTCTGCTTTTCTCAATGTACAGATCATCGAGAACTAGTTAAAGGGCTGTAAGGGAAGGTGGAGACCTCATTCCTAGCTACTCTGCCTGATAAAAAGTACCCACCTTCTCATAGAGCAGCAGTAGACCCATGTGAGGGTGTAAATAAATGGAGTGCTTGGAATAATGATAAAACAGAACATACAAAAGGCATTACAATTTCAGAAAAATAACCTATTCTATGAAAAAAAATATCACCTGTATATTCTCCTGTTCTCACACAATTTTCCTTTTCCTTTATGTGTTTCATATGTCAGTCATGGTGTGATGGAAGAGTTCAGCTCAGACCAGCCAACTATTAGTAATTCCTAAGATTTAACAGGATAACCTTAGATTGTTAAAGAACTTCAGCACCAAACGTGACATTTAGGGTTGTATTCATAACATGTCTACAGAGATATTCTTCCTGCGAAACTGCATTTCCATTGGTTCAGTGCAATTGCTGGCTAATCGAAGATTACTAGGCTATTTTCTCTCTAGATTGGATGTTCTTCATTCAAAAGAAAAGCAAGAATTCAAAAATAGTGTTGCGCTGTTAACCAAAATCAATAAGTGAAGTGCAATAAATCAGTCAATAATAAATTCCAGTGTTGAATCAATAAATAAAGTCCACCGAGAGTGAAAAGTAATCTTTATATATCCAGTGTACACCCGCCACCATGTGAGAGCTGCTTACTAGATATTTAGAGGGCTCATCATAAAAGATCTAAATCAGCATTTAGATGACAAGATATCCCACATGGTTGGATGGCTCCCACTCTCTTTTCCTCACAGCCAACAATGCCTCTAGTCACTTTTGCATAAATATGGCATGCTCCAGAATAGTTGCAAAATCGCATACTGATCTCACCAGCACAAACACACATCAAGGAGAGAACAAGGATATCCCATAGTGAAGTACTGTAGAATTATTATTATTATTATACAGGACTTATATAGTGCCAACAGTTTGCTCAGCGCTTTACATTATGGAGGGAGACAGTACAGTAACAATACAGTTCAATACAAGAGGGATTAGAGGGCCCTGATCCTTGGAGCTTACAATCTAGGAGGGAGGGGATAGTGGTACAAGAGGAAATTAGCTGTGGGGGATGAAGTGGTAGGAGGAGTAGTGGATTCCAGTATTAGCTGGGGGCGGGGTAGGCTTCCCTGAAGAGATGGATTTTCAGAGTGCACCTGAAGGTGAGCAGAGTAGGTGATAGCCTGATAGTTTGGGGTAGGGAGTTCCAGAGGATGGGTGAAGCCCTTGAGAATTCCTGGAGACGAGCATGGGAGGAGGAGACAAGGGAGCTAGAGAGTAGGAGGTCTTGCGAGTATTAGTATTAGTAAAACCAGATAAAATACTTACAAAGAAGTAACAAGAGCATAACACTCAGCACTGCCGGGGCTCTGGGCGGGTGTGATTATG